TTTTTTCCTCCATCTCAACCTCTCTGTTCCACCTCTATTCTATTTCCAGCTCTCCAAACCAATTACTTCAGCTTTTATATCCAAAATAGCACATGCAAACCAGAAGTTCCATCAGACAAAATGGTGGATTTGCTAAGCAATCTTAGTCCTTGATTCTGTATTTGGAAAATTCTAGTAGCTTGATTAGCTTTTTTGGAGATTCCCCCAAAGCCAACCTCCATAGTCACCAATAAGGTAGTGAGGCAGTTATGCATTGGGGTTGTATGACTTTTCACTGCATTCTTCTTGAGGTCACATATCATCCATATCTATGTTTTAAAATTTATTTATTTTTTTGTATATGAATACATTGCCTGTGTGTATGTAAGTGTACCTGTGTCATGCAATGCCCACAGAGATCAGAAGTGGGCATCAAATCCCCTAGAACTGGGGTTATGGATGGTTGTTAGCCAACATGTGGGTGCTGGGAATCAAGCCCTGGGTCCTGTGCAAGAGCAGCCAGTGCTCTTAGCTACTGGCTCATCTCTCCAGCCCCCACCATCCATATCTATTAACCTTATCTTTTCAGTGAACTAGAATTCTAGTATTATAAAAATGACATGATTAAAAGAACACTCTTGAAAATAATGGTGATATTTATTACCTTGATTTATTCAATAGTAACACAGTGTGTAAGTGTGTCCAAATATACCAAATTATATGGATTAATCATGTATTAGTTTGGTAAACTTGTAAGGAGGAGATAAGCACAATAAACTTATCTTGGAATACAGTTTAACCCAATCAATGGACCTGGAATTAAATGATTAGTCATAACTGCCTCATTCAAATCCACATTAAGATTTTAATATTTTTAAATTATCATGACAAAACAGGAATAAGTGACCTAAAGGGGCTGCCTTTTAATATCCATTCTAAAAACTACTTATCCATGCTATTTTGCAATTAAGTTAATAAGTGTGCTAAGTAAGTCTTATTTATAATGTCTCTCTTTGTAAATTGGGGTATTTATTCATTAATGTGATTGGATTGCCTTATTATATGCCATTGTAGTTTCATTTCTAATATTTTTATTGATTATTTGAGAATTTCATACAATGAATTTTGGTCGAATTCAGACCCCCTCCCCGTCTCCTCTCAGATCCACCTCCCACATCCCTATCCCCTTCACTTTACATCCTTTATTTTTTTAAGGCCTATTGAGTCTAATTTGTCTTCCTCAAATACTTTTGGGTATGGATCCATCCCCTAGAGCTTAGTCAACCTAACCAGCATTAAAGAACCTAACCACCCTTAAAGAAAATTGACTCTCCATCTCCTAGCATCTCTCAATTGGCAACAGTTCTTCAGCTAGGGGTGGAGGTCCTTTGCCATCACCCTATCCATGCTGGGATTTTGTCTGGCCTTGACTTGAGCAGATCTGCAAGCTGTCACAAGCACTGTGGGTTCACATATGCAACAGCCCAGAAAGTACAGTTTCCTTATATCCATTCACTCGCTCTGGCTCTTACGATCCTTCTGCCCCTCTTCCACAGTGATCCCCAAGCTTTGGGAGAAGAGGGTGTGAAATAGGTGCCCCATTTAAGGCTGAGAACTCCTGTAGGCTCTTATTCTCTGCATGTTGACCAGTTGTGGGTCTCTGCATAAATTACCATCTGCTGCCAGAAGCAGCTTCTCTGATAAGAGTTGAGAGATGACCAGTCTATGGTTATAATGATATCATCAGGAGCTTCTTAACCACAAATATCACATGAAGGAATAAAATAGAACAAGTTATTGCATTGAGAAATAATCAGTATTCAACACAGTCACTACAGTTTTTGATGTCGCAGATACTGCATCAGGAACTGATTGGGTAAGACTCAGTCACTATCAGTTCCTAATGCATTGCCTTCAGCATCTAAACAACCACGAGTAAGCAACTTAGACTTGCTGTGATGTGTTTAAGATCACCTGACAAGAGGTCTTCATTTAACCCTAAAGAAAAAGGTTTTTTAAGAGAGGTGGCTTTCTGATGCTAAAGCACTTAGCATTAGCTTAACAGTTGTATGGGTTAACTTATGGAAATAGGTTAACCTATGGAAATTTCCATAGGTTAACCTATGGAAATATGTGTCCCTATAATGAACTTGACCTTCCTTGCAGAACATACTACTGAATGAAGCCTCCTAGAAGCTGTTTCTCATTTTCATTTCTTAAGAGAAAAACGAACAGATTTCTTTCTTTGCTTCGTGTAAAGAAGGATTTAGTGTTGGGATTATTTGGATAGGGATTGTTTCCTATGAGCACCACTAAAATAAGCAGTACTGTTAGAAAAATGCTACAGAGTGATTACTTTAAAAATATCAGTTAAAGTCTACTTTCACCCACTCTAAATTAATTTGTATTTCTAGCATTTTAAAAATTGTATAGTCGCCACTTAACTCGCAAAGTTTTATTGAACATCAGTTAGTGCCAGGTACTATTCTAGAAACTCCTGATGCATCCATGAACCAAAACAAGGAACTTCCTGAATGAAGAGGGCAACTGAACAGAAGGGAGTTACTGAAGGGAGCAGACTGAAACCCATTCATAGTCACCACTGAATCAAGAGGAGCGACAATCTTGGAATAAGTAATATGAGTTGAACCTGATTTTACACAAGTAATTATACACCTTTGTAGATTCTTGTCCTATAACTACAACATATGCTACATATATAGCACATATGCCAAATATAAACCATATGACCAACTTACAGTGGAGTATTACATTAGAAAGAAACCCAGGACAATGACTGTGAATAATCTCTAAAATAATCCCCACTTTTATTCATATCTAAAAAGGATGTTAAATGAAAACTAATCCATAACTTCTGTCAATACTCCTAGAAATTTCCTGTCTTCCTAGCACCCCCACAGTTGTTCCTGGGCCTCTCAATCACAATCGTCAAACATCTGTCAATTGTACAAGTCTCAACTCTTTGGGCTTATCTGCTTTTTTTTCTTCTCCTTTCCTCTGACCTCTCCGGTTTCCTCACCCCTATCCTTCCCATCCCTCCTACAGAATCAGACCCCAAGGTCTCTCTGGTCTCTCAGGACTAAGGGCTTATATAGGTCAGGTAATTGACAGAGTTTTAGCTCAGGTACATCTCACAGTAGGCTCAGGGGGACTCCAAAATCATATTATTATTATTTGCATTTTCCAAGTTCCAGACTCAATAATTAGAATAAATTTATCAGCAAAGCATAGAAGCCCTACATCTGTTCCCAGGCCTGTGAAATGAGGTTTTTATGATGAGAAAGGCCAAGCAGAATCCACTAGAACCACAAACCCCAAGCACTTCCCACAGGAGTTCATAGATTAGTATCAACACTAAGAACTTGAAAGATGCAGAAATGGCAATTCTGATCTCTTGCTTGACCTTCACATAAGACAGTTGGATCTGGGAGTGTGACAGCAGATTACAAGCTTGACCATGTGACAAGCACAAGTATAACTGCTGTATCCAATGTGATTCCTTTGTTAGAGCAAAATAATTCTTTCCTGATGCCCGGCATGCAGTTTTTGGTCTTGCAAATGATTTTCCCCCTCAAGACCTATTAGTAAGCTCCATTTATTTGTATATAGTGTGATTATCAATCCGCTGTCACCATTCTATCTCAGAAATATACCAGTTCTTCAGCCCTATGTAATAATTTACTTGGAAAGGACCTTATCCCTTCCACAAGATGCCACACTCAACCATTACATCGATAATACAATGCTATTTGGATCGAGTGAGCAATAAGTAGGAACTATTGTACATTTATTGTTAAAACACTTATATTTCAGAAGGCAGAAATTTAATGCAACAGGAGCTTTCTACCTCAGGGAAATTTCTAGGAGTCCTGTGTCATAGAAGTATATCCCTACTAAAGTTTACGCTATTACCTCTGGTCCATCCTACAACCAAGAAAGAGACATAATGCCTAGTAAGGCTCTTTGGATTTGGGGGAAAGCTATTCCTCACTTAAGTATGCTATGCCTTCCCATTTATTTAGTGCCATTTCTGGGACATCCTTAAAGGATAGTGGTGAAAGGAACTCTTTCCAATGGGCACAATTTTGGGCAGTATACTTGCTGTGCACTTATCTTGGAAGGAGAAATTGCCAGATGTGTGATTATATACCAATTAATAGCTATAGCTAATGGTTTGGCTGGATAGACATAACTCAGTCACTCTTGGGGTGAGGATATACTATCTGTGCCCATGTGAGTGCACAGTAAAGAGTGACCAGAGAGGATTTAATGATTAAGTGAGTAAGACTGTCTGTTCTGTGAATACCAGATAGTCACTTCCCCCAACCATACTTGTCATGTGCCCAAGGAGGGAAAAAAATAGAGATTATTCTTGACTTAACATGGGTTTCTATTTACCAAGGCCAATGTTAACTGTCACCACTGCTGAATCTCCAGTCTTCCAGCAGCAGAGACCAGCACTGAGTCCTCAAATTGACCCCAGTCCTTCAATGCTCAGTCAGCAAGTTGGTGGCTGGTTGATTACATGGGAACTCCTTCAACATAAAAGGAGATTGTATTTTTGTTCTTAACCACAACAGATACTCTGGGTGTCTTGCTTCTGCCAATACTACCATCCACAAACTTATAGAATGTTTTAGCCAGTGTTGCGGTATGCTGTGCAGCATCGTTTATGATCGAGGAACTAACTTCATTGTAAAAGAAGAATTGTCAACAAGCAAGTGCTTATGGCAGTCACTGGCCTTACCAAATTTGCTATCATCCTAAAGTAGGTGGTTTGATAAAAGGTGGACTAAGGGACGTCTGGGGGCACTAACTTGCTTAACACAAATGACTGGATGCATGAAATCCAGTGGTGGGGGAGCTATGGGAGGTGCCAATGGGGAAGGGGTATAAATATGATTAAGATGTTCTGTATGAAATGCACAAAAATTCAATAAAAAACTTACTAAGAAAGAAGACAGGATATTATTAAACAAAATTCCCTGGGAAGACAGCGTTTGCTAAAAAGTTGGACATGAAATAAACACAGTGCTATAGGAACATTTTTTTAAAAAAGGTGGAGAGGCTTTTTGAAGACCCACTGACTGGCAATACCTTGTAGAACGAGGACAAGGTTCAGCAGAAAGCTGCATACACCCTCAAATGACCACATTATCGGGCAAGTGGCTTGGCATTTGTAACTCAGTGTTTTACTCTAAAAATGGTAACAATAACCTCATGGGGAGGTTGTGAGGATTACTGAATATGTCCATAGGCTTTTAAAAGAATATCTATGATACAAAAAATATTCAAATACTAGCCATTAGTATAACATTTATTCTCTTGGTACTATATATGTAGATATGTGTTGCTGAAATCTATATTCTCCAGACAACCAAAGTCTGGAGGTTAAGAAACCCTCCTAATATCTTCAACTTCCCTATGAATTTTCAATAAAATAAAACCTGTTAACTACCTATGTAGCCACACATTTTAGTAACTATCTGCCTTTCCCATTTTATACCATAGTGTTCCCTCCCATTATTAGTCACAGTTGCAGAAGGAACCTGACGGGCTGGAGAAATGGGTCAGCAATTAAAAGCATGTGCTGCTCTTCCAGAGGACCTGAGTTCAGTCCCCAGCACCCATGATCCAATGCCTCTGGCCTACATAGGCACCTGCACCTATCCACACAGAGACACACATAATTAAAAGTAAAATTAAGAAATCAAAAACAGAAGGGAACTGATAATCTCTTTTAAAAGGTAACTGAAGAGACTTTATGTAAGAGATGAAGAGAGGTTTAAAGGACTCAGAATCCTCTAAAGACCCAGGCCTTTTATTACAGCAGTAGCAGAAAGCTATCACTACCCTGGTCCCAGAAAAACAACAGTAAAGGAACTGGTCACCAAAACTAGAACCGTTCAGTTAGTCACAAGGGTCATATCCTCTTAAATAGAGGGAAGAAGGCCCTGTTGAACCACAACCTGCAGGATTTGGGGGACAGAAATGAACACTCTGTCTTCCTTTTTCCTCCTGTCCTCTGAATTCCAGTCAGTGCCTCCCATTGGGCAAACTCATCTGGAACCCAAAAGGCAAAAGTGCCCTGGTAATGCAGTTCAAAACATACACTAAACAGAGTGAAGAAGAGGATGCACGCAGTCAAATGGAAAATGCCACCACATACAGATCATGACTTTTTGTCTCTCAACAAGCACTCCTTTATCTTATATGAAAACTCAACACAAAGGAAACAGTCCTATTATTGCCAAGGGCCCCAGGTGTGATGTCAATTCAATTACACACTCACTTTGAACCTAAGCTATAAGTTAGCTACCACTAATACCCTTCAAATCAGGTAGTTGAAAAGAAGAAGGAAAGAAAACAATGAACATTCAAAGAGTTCTCGATTTGAGAGTCAAGACTCCTTGGGCTTCTCTTCTTCCCTGTGCTGCCAATGTAAATGGCCCTAATTACCAAGGAGAAACTGGGCTTCTCTGAAACAATAGAGACACGGGAAGACAGGTCTGGGAGCCCGATTTGTTTTCTGGGAAGCAGCTCCATTCCCCCACACGTAGAAGTATTGATCAGTAAGAAACTTTAATAATCTAATAAAGACAAGGTCACCAGTGACTTATATCCTATAAGCATAAAAGTTTGAGTCAACTCACCAAATAAAAATTCCTGACCATGATCCTGACAAAGAACAAGGGAACATGAATTAGGTGGAACAGAAAATATGCCATAAGGTTGGGTGTGGTGGCGCACGCCTTTAATCCCAGCACTTGGGAGGCAGAGGCAAGCAGATCTTTGTGAGTTGAGGCCATCCTGGTCTACATAGTGAGTTCCAGGACAGCTGGGGCTACAAGGAGACCCATCTCAAAAAGAAAAAAAAAAAAAAAAAAAAAAAACCTAAAATGCCATGATGTCAACACTGAACTGTAGACCAGTTACCTCTGATTTCACAGAATGATGACTTTAGCCAAAGTGGCCCTCTCACTGGGATCACCAAACTCACCTATTCTAAGATTTTAAAGAGAGAAAGAAATTCTTTAGATGTATTATTAGAGAAAACAGTGAGAGAGGCAATTCCTGTTTCCACTCTTCAAACATGGAAAGTATTAGTAACGCCTAATGAATAAAGAGCCTTCTCTGCTAGGCCTTTAGTGGGACTCGCTTCTTATTTCTAAGTCAACTCAAGTCACCTTCTTGCATATTCTTTCAGTGGCTGTTCTCTAAAGCACGCTCCCCACCCCTATATTTGCTGCTTTATTACATGTTTTATTTCCTTCCCAACACATGTCCTGAAATAATTTTCTATTTCTTTTTTGTTTCCATCTCTCCCCACCCCAAGTCCACAAATCCTGTGATTTTATTGTATTTCTTCAGTACCTAGATCAGTGCTTGGTACCTTGAAACTATATCTGATGCATACATCTGAAAATATAAGATGTATTTGAATAGGGACTGATGACCTCCAAAAAATATAACATGTAAGACAGAAAGAACTATGAGCCAAAGCTACATGTGAATGAAAAGATTCCTGCAGAAGAGATAATCCTTTCACCACAAGGAGAAACACAAAAGATAGTTCTAGAATTGACAGGCATCCTAACACAGTCTGTAATTATTTGCACTTGCACTGTCTTAAAGGATCATAATGGTATAAAGTTTTAAAAGGAAAGTCTCTAACCCATTACTTTGATTTAAATATGAAGACACAGTGGAAATATGGACTATGGAAAGAAAGAGAGCTACAATTGGCCTGAGCCTCCTCTATTACGTGCCTCTTTAAAAGAAGAAAAATGAACGTTGGAACGTGTGGTTTGAGGACTGTGTTTCGAGGACTACAAAGACATCTGTGGCATCTCTGAGGAAGGCTGCCTTATTCGTCTGTATTGTCCATCACCTCATGAAGCTCCTGGCAATTGAAAGGCTTGGAGGACTGTGTGAAATACTTCTGCATCCACATCACAGCAGTGAGGTTGGGCCACACACTGTAAATAACTGTCATCATGGAAAACACACTGTATGAGGTGCTGTTCATTTCTGGGAAAGTGACAAACCATAATGTTGTAACTTGTCACATGTGTGATCAAACAATCCCTAATCCTACTGTTCTTATTTGGGCCAGAGGCTCAGAGGAGGCATGTCTGTTCCCCATCACCAACCCACTGATGTGACCTTAAGAGCAACTTGGGAATGAGGCCATGGCCCATGTCACATCAGGCACAGATGCCAAACCACTACATGAGTACACTAGTTCATAAATAATAGACCTGAGAATCCACAGGATACCCCAAGTGCTGGATGGCATCTGAAGGTGCTGAGAGCCAAAATCACAAACAGCTGGGTGAGTCCTTGCTGACTACACGTCCAAGGAGCTTTGCATGTATTGTTTACCACGGCAACTTTATGGAATAAATTATGTACAACAAATGAGTTTCAGATGGTGGGATACGAAGAGCCGATGTGCAGTATAAAGGAAGGTGAACTCCCACTTTTGACCCAACCACTTCCTCTCTCAGGCATCCCAGACTCAGAATCCAGATGCAGTTTAATTTTGAAATGTAGTAGAGATCAGAAAGTTAATAAGTGGTGAGGATTAGAGATTTTGAAAGCAATTTATGAGTATTAACTCATCATACCATGGTGATTTAGGATTGTTGTACATGAAAGCATGAGAAAACTGGGCTCATTCTTCCTCTATCTCTTCCTTCTTCACACCAATCAAAATTAAACTCATTCCTGACATGTCCTGCCTATGATCCACTCAAAGAATTTAAAACCTCATTGCCTGTTACCACACTGGGCCAACATCTACTCTCCTGAAAGAAACTGGGTATGGTGGTACACACGTGAAATCCCAGCACCTGGGAGGTGAGGCAGGAGGATTAAGAGTTCAAGGCCAGCCTCTTCATAGCAAGTTCCAGGCCAGTCTATGCTACTTAGGATGAGAGAGAGAGAGAGAGAGAGAGAGAGAGGCAGAGAGAGCTGCAGGGAGAGAGAGGGGAAGAGAGAGGCAGAGAGAGAGGCAGAGAAAGGCAGAGAGAGAGGCAGAGAGAGAGGGAGAGAGAGAGAGGCAGAGAGAGAGAGAGAGAGAGAGAGAAAGAGAACCACCAAGCCTTGGAGAGGAGATGGGATACGTCTCATTTGTGGCTGAGTCCTCCACAGTCACTTATTCTCTGCACTTGGATGAGTTTGTGAATTTCTATGTTAACCACCATCCACTGCACAAAGAAACTTGTCTGATGAAGTCTGAGAGCTGTACTAATCTACTGGTATAGAAATACAAATTTAGAGGGCAGTTTAAGACTACATCCATTTAGTAAAATATTGGTAGTAGGTTTAACCCTAGGACCTCTGAACTCCCCTACTATGAGTTACTATGAGTTCTCAGCCAGATTTACAGTACCAGGCATGAGTTTACTCCTGTGGCGTGGGCCCTAAATCCAATCAGGAAGTGGTTGGTTACCCCGTTAACATTCACATCACTGTTGCATCCATGAGCATGTCTTGCCACACAAGTTGATTGCGGCTCACAGTTGGATAAGACTACTTATGTTTTTTCTCTCAGCAGCCTGCTTTGTGCCTTCCAGTACTAGCCAATGGGAAGGAAGCTTCCTGGTCAGTACTGACTTGATTTCTCCATGTCCTATGACTAATGTATATGTTGTCTTCAGCAACAGGGTCTTAACATTAAGTTCTGGAAGGCAACCAAGAGCAATAGCAATTTCCCAAGAAGAGAGGAGCAAAAAGATTGTAAGAGGCAGAGGTTCAAGAGGACCAGAGTAAAACCATGTCTCCTGGGCATGACAGGACACTGTACTCATAAACTCACAACAGCTGTGGTTGCCTGG